AGCCCTCGTGTAGCTTTGCGCGAAATTCAAAACAAACAAACAAACATAAAAGGTAAACCACTAGTGACTTTATTGCTTTTTTATATATAATCCTATAGCTGTAGTCTACTATAGTAAGAACATTGAGAGTATATCTGTTGTTGACACTAGTAGTTTACTATAATAAAAACATTGACAGCATAGCTATTGTTGACACAGTAGTTTACTATAATAAAAACATTGACAGCATAGCTATTGTTGACACAGTAGTTTACTATAATAAAAACATTGGCAGCATAGCTATTGTTGACACAGTAGTTTACTATAATAAAAACATTGACAGCATAGCTATTGTTGACACAGTAGTTTACTATAATAAAAACATTGGCAGCATAGCTATTGTTGACACTGTAGTTTATAATAGTAAGAACATTGACAGCATTAATAGCATGACTATCATTGGTACTGTGTTCTACTATAATAAGGACATTAACAGCGTATCTATTATTCACTATGTAGTCTACTATAGTAAGGACATTATCAGTATGACTGTCATTGACACTGTAGTCTACTATAATGAGGACGTTAAAAGAACACATATCATTCAATACTGAACTCACCTGGACAAAGTTAATGGCATTAAATTTCTCAGTCTTGATATTAAAACGTTTATGGATATGTTTACAAGTTTGTTTATTCAAAGTATAAACTTAACTTCTAAGTCTTATTTGTTAGACCACCTTAAATTACACAAGAAACATCATGCCCTGTATATAGAACTAAATTTGTAACGCCCTCTCTCCATTAACACAGCGGTGAGTTCGAAGGCTTATAACGCGAAAAACAAAACAGATAAGCCATTGTGTAGCTTTTTGCTTAACTACAAACAGAAAAACAAACTGTTTGTATTTTGGATTAATTGTACATTAAGTAAATGTTCATCCCACTGAAAAACAAAAAACTGTAAACATCAGACTTAATTTGAGAAATAATTGCAAATTATTGTATATTTACAAATTACACAAATAATGTCCAAAATACAGATTTATAGCAGGCGCAAAGAGAAATATAAAACTACAAATTTATTTGTTGTAATTGTAAAATATCTCAGGCAAGTAAAATAAACCTTTTGATATGTATGATTAATTCAACAAAGAAAGGATTGTTATAAATTTTTAACCCTAACTTTTTCAACGTTATTAGCCATTGAATAAAAATATAAGTACCAAAGCCTTAAATATTTATGTAAAATCAAGCTCCAAACATTTATACGAGGCTAAACCCACTGACGTGTTACTTTGTCCTGTTAGAAGTGTTTAATATGTTCATAGTATCAATATTATTGGGACTGATAGCTGATGTAGGCTTGAGTCTGAAATTTATTCATTAAAGTTTTAAATTTGTTGTTATGTGTTTAATAGAAATTATGAAATATTGTTTCCAGTTTTTGATAAAATACTGACTTGTTTGAACGAACCCAAGCGTTTAAATGGTATCAGTCATCATAATACTTATTATAGTTCCGTGAACAATGAATTTTTGCATAAAACCGTATTGTTATGATTTTATTTTACTTCAGAATGTATTTTTCGCAAACTTTCCCAAAGATTTAAAAAGATGCAAATGAAAAGCAGTTTTACGCTAGCGGTCATTATTATTGGTAAACCAAGAAATATTTTTTTTTAAATATTTTAGTTATTCAACAATAATTTCATCTTCATCTCTTGTCAAATACAACTTTAATACAACTATTAGCCTTTCACTCATAGATGGCGCTTGTAACTAGGTTTAGAGGATATAACCAATGAATAACTCGAGTCAAACGGGTATGAAACACTAGAAACGAGCGATGAATAGATAGGCGGACACAGTCATTTAATAAAGCTGTGATTGGCATACCACTATCAAATGGGAATCTTGATGCATTGTATGAGAGACTATATATTTTCGAGTTGTCGTTCAAACCGTTTTTAGAGTGGAAAGAACGACAAGGAGTCCGAAGTCGATGATCTTATGATTTGTGCTGACAGGAGACGACACCGATTAAAGCTACAGATGGTCGAACATTTCAGGGAAAAGGAAAACTTTAATTTGTGATCAGTTATTGTTTCAAAACAGTTCTTATCTAAAAATATTAATTATTGTATGTGAAAGATGTCTAAAAGCTACAGCGACCACCACGTTAAACGTCCGATGAATGCCTTCATGGTGTGGTCCAGGGGACAGAGAAGAAAGATGGCTCAAGAAAATCCAAAGATGCACAACTCTGAGATTAGCAAGCGTTTGGGTGCCGAGTGGAAACAGCTATCCGAGGCCGATAAACGACCTTTTATCGACGAAGCTAAGCGATTACGAGCTCTACATATGAAAGAACACCCAGACTATAAATACAGACCTCGGCGGAAACCAAAGCCTCTCCTGAAGAAAGACTCCGGTTTCATTTCTTTTGGACAGCCTTTGCCTATGACTTTTGACCCTCTCTCCAAACTCTCCCCTCCCGTCTTCCCAATATTGGACAGTGAGAAGGCACTGACAGCTCGGAGCTTGTCCTTTGGATTTCCATTATCCGCTAGCTCCATAAGGCCTGGGTTTAGTAGCCTGTACAACAGTGCTGACGTTGATGGTCTTGCTAAACTCCGGGCAGCAGCAGCAGGAAGCAGCGTAGAACTTCCGAGTTCCACCGCTGGTATCAATCCGGGTGAACTGTTTTTGAACTCCGCGCCGGCTCCTCCAACATCGTCTCTCTTTAGCACAGCGGCCAGTAGCTTCTTATCTTCGCTGTCACATTCACACTCTGCCGGTACCTACGGGATAATGCCGTATAACTGCGGTTCCCCCTACTTTTCTCACGTCGGATCAACACCAGTAACCTCTCAGGCACAAGATGTGAGATCACCATATACCTACCTGCTGATGAAACCCGAAGATCGGTTTCCTCGTCACCCTCACGCACCGCTTCTATTCAGTAGAGGAATAGTGTAATTTTGAGTTATACGTGAGTATTAAGGCATAATCTCTGGTAAGATAGTAATTGTCATAATTTATAACGCCTTCAAACACGACTTCACAAGTGAAAGAGTCAAATTATTCCTAGTCAACGAGTGCCACAAAAAACTTTTTGAGTCACGCCCAACGAGTTTGGCGGGAAACGTAAGCGTAGTTGATAAAGATCATGTGCTTTTTTTTATACATTGGAGTTATAGTTCTATACCTATTTTTCCAGTTAAAAGGCAACATCTATAAGGTATGCATAGGTAGAGTGTCTGGTTCAGTGTCGTGTACAGGTGGCTTAAAACATAAGCGTTGGAACTTTCTACGAACTGTATCGAACAATAATAGATAAATGTGTGAAAATATTTAATTGTTTTAAAATTTAACATAAACTTCGTGTGTGTTTCAGTGTATATATAAATATATGGACACACATAGTATGCATATGAATATGTAAAGAAAGAGAGAGAACGATATATATATATATAATGAAAATAGAGGATATTTCTTATAAAAGTAGAGTTGTGTTTATTGGTTACTTTATTTTATTAATTTGAATTTGTAATACATCAAGCTACTAATGAAATCAGTTTATATGCTTCTTATTTATAAGGGAATTTTGTTATCTCCTATACTTCAGAGTACAGGGAATAGTGTTCTAGAGTCAGTTAAACATTGTTATTTTAATCAAGAAAAATTCAGAGATAGATTGTTTTTTTTTCATTTTCTCTCAGGCTGATCTCAACAAAGTAATGTGGTTGGACGTTTAGTTAGTATTTTTCATTATTTTTAAGTGATGCAATAATATAATTTACTAGAAACGTCATAAAAGAATGGCAGGTTGATGGCATAATACAAACTAGGAATATACTAACTTAAAAAGTGAGTTATATGGCGAAATTAACATATCAACAGTTCGCGTTTCCCAGTTACCACTCAGAACTATTGTTGGTCCAAAATAACCAATTACTATCTAGAACTATTTTTGATCTAAAATAACTAACTACCATCCAGAACTATTGTTGGTCCAAAATAACCAATTACCATCCAGAACTATACAGTAAATGTAGGTGTTTGCTCTTTTTTTGTCCGCACAGAAAAATATAATAACGTGATAAAAATGTAGGAAAAAGTGTTTGTTTGTAATATTTTATTGCTTATAGAAGCGTTAACCAAAAGTTATGTCACTACGCCCCCTCCTTTAATAAATATGGTTTCTAGCGCCACCACATCCTCTTTTTTTTTTAATGAGTGAAAAAATTAGTTAAGTGACAAGATATAATGCACGGATACTTATTATTTTCATTAATAAAAATATAAATTAAAACGCTTAATTTTGCATTATTGCACTATTGACTCTATCTAATTGCTCGTGCACCCTCAAAAGATCATTTGCGCCCCACACTTTGGGAAACGCTGGCTTATAGAACATTTCAGTTGGTAATTTATCATAGTTCACAGAAATTACAGTGAAGAACTCTACGATCAGGTAAGGAGTGTTGAATTGTATTTACTTTCAAGAAAAAGACAAATGAAAGCAATTCTTCGATGATGCTCTTAAGTAAGTTGATATTTACATACAGCTTGATGCAATTTCACACCTCAAAACACCCTATACTTCGAATGATAACATTTCCTCGAAATGTACTCTTAACAGTTGGGACAGCTTTGATTCATAACACAGAAAAATCACGTAGGGCCAAAAATTCGATGGATAAAAAACAAGAAACCTGCTAATGTCCCGAGCGTTTTCGTCAGTGTTAGTATCAGTCTTTGGGAGACACAAACTACTACACAGTAGGCCATATAAGCGAGAGCAGAGAAACAACAAAGCGGAATTGAACCCTTTGGTTGGCGAGAAGTATAAAACAAATAACTGAGTCGAAAACATTTCTGTTAGGAACAGGAAAGCATAATTTTGTCTTATGTTTAAAATAAATGACAAGTCTACATCTTCACGTGCAGTAATTACTGCTTGACGAATCAGGATTAACAGAGTTTTAAAAGACAGGTGACAATTACGCCCTCTATAATTCTCACCTTTCGTATTTTGACTAAGTTTCACCGTGGTCATCAGGAAAGTTGCTTGATAATTTAGGTCTATTTTCTACTCGTTATTCTGGTTAATGTAACGGTTATGTGTTAAAAGTTGGAAGCATGATTTAAATAGCGTATGGAGAGATAAGTATGGGTCGAAATATCTGTCGAAGTAACAATTATAAATTAGTACTGTATACGTCTAGCGATAACTGTATTGTTTGTTCACTTGCTACAGTTTTGATACAGTTGACTACAATTTACAAAAGAAACAAGTTTATGGTCCGATATTTTAGTATATTTTGAGTTCATATTTAATATTGGAAATAATGTTATGTTTAATCGACGTAAAGAAAAAAAAATGTTCCTTAAAACTTTCATTTTTAATTTTAGAAGAGTTGCATTTGATTGTCATTTGACGACTTAAGTATTTTTACAGATTAGTGGTGCCAAGAAAAGAAACTACACATCACTTTGTATGTTTTATTTTATTTGTGATTTCACTCATTTTCACACAAACAATTATGTTTATTTCACTCTTATTATCGAGATTATTTCTGTATTGTATACATCTAATTTTTCCATTGTTTTGTACAGAGATCAGATTCCTATATTTAACATCGGATAAGCAACTGAGAATTATTGAAGATTATTATGTATAACAGATGTAAGTTTGATGTATATCTACGTACATGAAAATATGCATGCGGCATTGTTCTATATATATCTCAGTTCGGTTCATGTAATATACATAGCCGCTGCAAGCCAATGTAAGTTTTCGTTGATTATCTCAACAAATCAATAAAAAAAGTTAATGTTAACTGTCTTATGTGCTGTAATCCTGAACTCTCAGCATGTCAGTTAAAAACTGAAGCTTAACTGATTCTAACCGTGAAAACCTGATTATAACAAGTCAGTCATGACCTTTATTGGAATGAACAAACTTTATATCACCTTACACGGTTGGGCATGACTATCATACACATTTGCACATTCTAAGATAAGTACGTGTGTGAGGATGATCTTTATTGTGTTCCTATTTTGTGTTAATCATTAACAGAACATTTCTAAAACGATATGACATATATCGATCCTCTTTAACATACCATGAGTTTTGTACTGTGTTTCATTAATTCAGAAAGTCTTTATGTAGAAATATCGCAACATATGTATGCGAACACTTCCTTCACAAGGCTCTAAACTGGTCTTTCCTAAGTGTTACAGAAAAACAAACAGTTCACTTTAAAGTTAATTCTTTGGTGATAAGAATGCATACAGTTCTTCATTTGGAGAGCTGTTTTCACAGTCTCTCTGACTTTTATATTTTTAAGTCCCAATTTATTTGTCAGTGTGTTTTCTATTTGATAATCACATTTTTTAGTCCTAACTGCATGAATAATAGATTCTGACTAAGAATTCTAATGCTACTTTTATGATTAATTCCATCACATGTTATAGATTTTACCAATTTCTTTTAAATATTTCAAAAATAAGATGACATATGCACAGGTTATTTGACATTACATATTGGCCTGTTGTTAATTGCTTTGTACAGATACATACATGGGAAAATTGACGTAGCTACGAGGTTTAGGCTTTGGATGTGACGACCATGAAAATAAATCTTCCTACCTTATGTTTAGTAGATTTTCTTAATTCACTGAAAAGTTTAAAAGAAGAAGAAACAACAGTTCGAATCTGCTGCTTGGCTTAAATTATTCCTCAGTTTAACATTTATAATCGTTTGTTAACATTGCCACAATTTATTCAGTAAAGGGCTCATTTATGATATGATCTTTCAACACAAGAACATTTCTCACAGCTGATAGTTATTATTTATACATATATTCAAACTTCATCTCTGATAAAGTTAATTTTCTAACTATTTTCATCAACCTGCTGTTGTTGTCCTTTTTTCTCAGAAGCATTAGATAAAAGAAGTTGGTGAATATGGCTTTTAAACCGTGGGCCTGTGTAAGGATTTTAAACTGTGGGCCCGTGTAAGGATTTTAAACTGCGGGCCTGTGTAAGGATTTTAAACTGTGG